ATATCACAGAGTAATGGCAAGGCACTAAGGCAGCCTTTGGCTTTGCTTCCTTGCCTTGCATTGAATATGAAATGACTTTGGGAGCCTAATGAGATTTACAAAACAAAAAAAGTATGGGGTAAAATTTGATTCTAAAATATTTGGTGTGGGCCATGCAAACACTTTGAATAGCACAAACAAAACTGGTGGGGATGAGGGACAGGGCCTTCTCGGTGGTGGCCCCTCGCCTGTGGAATTCACTCCCAAGGGAAATTAGATCATCGTCAACCCTCCTCTCTTTTAGAAGGAACTTAAAAACATGGATATGGAACCAGGCTTTTGGGTAATCTGGCAGACTGACAAGGACAATGACGACAAGAGCTTTGGAAATGGATTATGATAAGCTGAATGGAATCACTAATTACAGAACTCAGCAAAACGATGGCCACCAGGCTGGCTTCTTTTCTCGTAGATTTTATTATATTAACTCAATGTTTTACTTATTTATAATTACTGTTAGTTGTGTATTTTATTGTGTTTAATTGTAGGCATCAAATATGTGCTGTTTGGAAGCCGCCCTGAGTCCCCCACTAGGGGTATGAGAAGGGCGGCATAAAAATACCCAAAATAAATAATAAATAAAATAAATATGGCTTCCGACTTACAAAACTTCAATTTTATTATGATTTCTGAAACTTCTGATTATTATTTTTTTGCACAAGCCTAATAACCACAACAAGCTTTCTCAATAAACCTCCATATTCACAAGTAACTTCTCTCACTTCTTTTTTGTACGTTAAATATTTGGATATACCAGGAGACAAACACATTTTAATGTATATAATACCTCCTCAAATTAAACCATATTCTGCCAATACTGTAGGATTTGTTTACTATAAAATGCTATTATTTTCAGTGTCTCTAGAGACAACATGTTTGCAACCTTGTAAATAATTTAAATGAGAAGCATTGATTACTTTTACTGAAAAATAGACATTGAGACACTTTTAAAATGCTGGTTGTTTTTCCAGGATCATCCTTTTAGCATGCACTAATGGACTAGATAAAATCACAACTGATATATTATGCAACTGAACATCTGTTTGTGCACTAAAATATATTTGTAACACTTTAGATCTGTTGTATTAGCCTAACTGGTACATATTTAATTTATAATACTATTATTGACAATAGTAAAATATAATATAATAGTATCACTGTTGTTGCTGTTGTTGTTGTTGTTGTTGTTATAAACATGCATTTCTGCTAATTATTCAATTTATTTATCTTTGAATAATAATAATAATAATAATAATAATAATAATAATAATAAAACTTTATTTATACCCCGCTACCATCTCCCAAGAGACTCGGTGCGGCTTACATGAGGCCGAGACCACAATACATCAATATAAGCAATAAACACAATACGAAGCAAAATATAACTACCAATACAAAGCAATTAAAATAAATCTCATACACAAATAGCATAAACATTGAACAATAGCACAAAACACATTTAAAACTACGGCTGGGCCAAATGTAATTAAGTTAAAAAATAATGCTGGGCATGAACAAGATAGAGAAGGTGGGGCATTGGTGGAAATGAACAAGCAGTCCTAAATCAGTATAAAGTGCTTTTAGAGGACATAATGCTAAGGGTTCACTATTCTGGGAAGGCACACTGGAACAACCACGTTTTCAAGCTCCTCCTAAAGACTGCCAGAGTTGGGGCATGCCTGATGTCCTTGGGAAGTGAGTTCCAGAGTCGGGAGGCCACCACCGAGAAGGCCCTCTCCCTCGTCCCCACCAATTGCGCCTGCGAAGGAGGTGGGAGTGTGAGCAGGGCCTCTCGAGATGATCTAAGTGATTGTGTGGGTTCGTACACAGAAATGCGGTCACGCAGGTAGGCAGGTCCCAAACCATTCAGAGCTTTGTAGGTAAGAACCTGCACCTTGAATTGGGTCCAGAAAATGAATGGCAGCCAGTGGAGCTCCTTAAACAGGAGGGTTGACTGCTCCCTGTAAGGAGCGCCAGTTAACAACCTGGCCGCCGCCCGTTGGACCAACTGAAATTTCCGAGCTGTTTTCAAGGGCAGCCCCACGTAGAGCGCATTACAGTAGTCCAATCTGGAGGTGACTAAGGCATGGACCACCCTGGCCAGATCCTAATAATCGCCTTCGGGCTGATTTGGGCAGGATACAAATGTTGTAAATAAATAATAATAATAATAATAATAATAATAATAATAAATATTATTATTGTTGTTGTTATTATTATTATTATTATTATTTTAACAATACCCCTTGAATCAGGTCTTTCCAAATCTGTAAGTCAGCGGCTGTCTTTAGGACAGTTTCCTACAGAAAATTTCAATTGACTAAGCAGAAGCATTAATATTGGTGGTTTGCGGTTCTTTTTTCAGTAGTGAAGTGAATCCATTCTGGGTTTTAATCCAAACATGATCAATTATATGATATCATCTATTTTTCTATTCTAAGAAGTCATCAATTTAAGACACACGCTAATTTCAGTACTACCAGCAGACAATATATAATATATATATATATATCACACCAGAGTTTCTAAAATGCACTTGGTTGTTTATATGGAGGGGAAGAAAGAGCATCTCAGAATTGAGGAAATACAGTACATATCTTGGATTCTGAAATTGGTGAAAAGAGAAAGTTTTTTGTTTTTTTGGTTTTGGTTTTTAAAAAATGTCATCAATAAAACATCACAGAGAGGTGACAGTTGATGAGCAGTATACCAGCAATTTACAATACAGGCAGCTAGATTTCCTCCTACACATTTCAGGAGCTATCTTTACCTGTCACTAGTATTTTGTTTGATCTGCTCTCCTTCACACACACAAAACCGAGAGAGGACGAAATCAAGAACAAGACAGGACTACTGAGAGCAAGCTACACTCTTTGGAAGGATACACAATAAGAGATCTCTTCAACAAGATACGAGTAACAAAACGGAAATATCTTTAAATGGAATAAAATTTCTGCCATAAATAAAGTTGACAACACCTAATACAGAAATAGTCAGTCCTGGGTGTTCTCAAATTGAATTTATTCTTTCATGTTTTTGTTGCCATTTCCCATATCTTGCATAGGAAAAGATAGAAGGTAATATCATAGAATCATAGAATCAAAGAGTTGGAAGAGACCTCATGGGCCATCCAGTCCAACCCCCTGCCAAGAAGCAGGAATATTGCATTCAAATCACCCCTGACAGATGGCCATACAGCCTCTGTTTAAAAGCTTCCAAAGAAGGAGCCTCCT